GGAGGGGTGGGTCTGCAAGCAGAGAGTTATGCAGGGAGCTTCCAGGTTGTAGATGTGTTCAACCTTTACCATGTTTCTCTTTTACTGCCAGGAACTGTGGCTTAATTATAACATCATGTGGGTCAATGTCTGTACAAGTAATATTCCTCTATTCAACTCAAAGACTCAAATTTCTCTGACATTTTCTCTTAATACACACACACAAAGACATATATGAATAGTTCAATTTGTTATTTGTCATATTCTCTAATATGATCATGACCACTGAATTAGCAAGGACTGAACCACTGCTCCTAGGGAAAATACAGGGTTAGGTTCCTGTGAGCTTCTGGTCACAATATTTTCATCAAATCAATATATTACCTTGTTCTATATGTGTTTCTGCTTAAAGACACTTTCTTTGATATATGTCATTGATTCCCTAACATTGAGCCCATGGCCAACAGCATGATGACTCATGCCTGAACGAAGCTTATCTAATACACTACTTTCTTCACAAGGCACATCCCAGCCTTTTTTGTACCCAGGAACATTTGAGAGCACTTCAGCACTATACTTGGGGGTCACTTAAAACTGTAAAATCACCAAGAAAAAATATAAAAAATGCAAGAGACATGGCATGACTATGAAAAGGACACTTACTCGTAATATGAGAGCTGAAACAGGAAGGCAGTGTGCCTTGTTCAATCTAAGGTGGAAACGTGCTCACCAGGTGATTTAACTTTTTTGTCACTCTATGAGTGTTCATAAAAATATGAGTACTGGCCAGGCTCGGTGGCTCAGCCTGGAATCCTGCGCTTTGGGAGGCCAAAGTGAGTGTACTGCCCGAGCCCGTGGTTTGAGAAGACCTCATCTCTACAATAAACAAAAAAAAATTAGCTGGGTGTGGTAGCGTGCGCCTGTAGTTCCAGCTACTTGGAAGGCTGAGTGGAAGGATCACCGGAGCCCAGCAGGTCGAGGCTGCAGTGGCCGGGAGTGTGCCACTGCACTCCAGTCTGGACGACAGAGTGAGACTCCAACTCAAAAAAAAAAAGAAATATGAGTTCTGATTTGGTTGGGGGTTACAGATAAATTTGAGAGTATGTGAATCTGCAAATTCATAATCTTTGAATAAAGAAGATCAGTTCCATATTGTATAGATATAGAGAGAGCTATTCCTACAAGTTGTCTCAAAATGAAGACAGGAATTAGGGGTGGCTAATTTCTGTGAACTACACAAAAAACTTTCTTATCCAGTTGGCGACTGCAAGCATTGAACGAGATACTCCTGATGGGGTATTGTGTAAATTGCACACTGCTATGCGTACAGTTGCTTGTACAAGATGCTCTTCAGCATCTTGGAGTGTTTCAGGAGGAGATCTCATGGGAGGCATCCTACAACGGCAGATGGCATCAAGTTCAGGGATTCAGATGCGAGTAGCCAATGGTGTGCATATACACAAGCTGCCTCAGCAGGGGACAAGTGATGGTACTTCTCTTCATTCTCCTGCTTAGTGCACGTGCTGAACAGGGACCTAGGAAGACGTGGCTCTAGGGGGAAGCTGTACCTCTGGGCAGGCTAGTAGGAGGGACAGGTGGCGTTGTGCCGAGGAAGTGGCTTGGCAGTAACTGTCTAAGACAGAAGTGGGCAGCCTAGATACCAGAAGGTCACCTGTGCTCCTCTGGTGCTGAAGGTCATAATGAGGCTGCTTCACGTGCAGCTTGCTGGTCTGGCAGCAGCTCCCGCCCTCTGTTCTTGATGCTGGCAGATGCTGGAGATTTGGTGGTTGCTGAATATCTGGGCTATGTGTTTCTCAGCTTCGATGCCACTTTCTATTTCTTATGTATTTTATATTTATTTATTTATTTATTTTTCAGACAGGGGCTGGCTGTCACCCAGGCTGGAGTACAGTAGCATGATCATAGCTCCCTGCAGCCTCAATCACCTGGTTCAGGTGATCCTATCCTCCCACCTCAGCCTCCTGAGTAGTTGGGACTACAGGTGTGTGCCACCACATCTGGTTAACTTTTAAAATATGTTTTTGTAGAGACAAGGTCTTGCTATGTTGTCCAGGCTGGTCTCAAGTGATCCTCACACT